CTACAGGACTGTAATCAGGGCTAGTGACTTTGACGCTGTTACATAATACACATATTCATACACAGATCACCACACACAGGGTCCAAACAGCCCTCATAGTATGTTATTATTTGTTCAATTATATTTCGATGTCGTGTTCGCAGACATCATAATATAGAGATGAAACATTCACCGAAAAAACGTAATACACTGACGGACAAGCAATGAGACATTTGTACTCTGTTTGTAAATTATTCAATTATTTTATTATAAAGCGATGGATAGATGAGCTAGACACGTGCCCAATTATTATTGGCATACTATATATGTATTTATATATATTATAGATTTAATAAAATAAAATGGTAATTAACTACTGAGTGATTCTATATTTACTTCTTCAACAAGAATGTAGCCCTGAAATTGTGACTGACGTCATCGTGACCGACTAGTACTGTATATAACCAGAGGTACATTACTTGGGGTTTGCAACTACGGTGTCATGATACCAAGACCCCGTTTCAATCTCGCTCTCGCATAAGCGTTCCAACTCAGAAAAATGCGAATGCGCATGCCCGAGGTAACGAGGATACTGGGATGTCCAGGTGGATCAAAATAGCTGCTCACGATATGACGGATTACGATAACTATATTTTCTGTACATTTTCGATGTATTACATTTTTTCACTATGAATGTGGTAATATATGTTTTATTGTTTTATTACAAACCGCCTATGTCACGTCAGAAAGTCGTAGCATCAGTCTCGCTATCTACGAGATGAGACTTGAATGGGATCTTGGCACGATGTCACCATTACAGTACTATGTGCGTTGCAAACCCCAAGTAATGTACCTCTGATATAACTTAACGGTGAGAAAATTTTAGAAAAAAAACAAAAAAAACAGCACATTTATGTATAAGACATTATTAAGGCACGTGATGGAAAAAGTAGTGTTTGACAAATAAACAAAATATAGCACATTCTGTATACCATCAAAGCGCCTCAACCGTTGCCATTGGCCGAGCGCGTATGATATAAACAATATATCTGCACGCGTTGTATACGTCACAGGGGACCGATTATATGGGCGCGAGGAAGACGGCGCGAGGAAGACGCTTCATAACATATGTGTTATTTTTCATCATTGCTGAACTTTTTCTTATCTAAAGGTGGTACACACATAAACAATCGCCGACATGCTTTTGAATAGACGTGCTTGTCTGTGAAATCTTGAAGAACAAAACATGTTTTTATTTGTGTAAAGCAACGCACTTTGTGTGAAATTTCGAGGTAAACGTTGATTGGTATCCAGTGTCGTCGCTAATCGACATCACATCTGGAACTGGGAAACTTCTTAAGCAGTGTTTTTAATGATGAAATTTCGAAAGAGATGTAATTATTTGTGAAATTTCGAAAGAGACGTCACTTGTGAAATTTAAAGAGAGACGTACTTATTTGTGAAATTTTGAAAGAGATTCATTTGTAAACTTTTGAAAAAACAACTGTTGGTCATTCATTGTCACCACATTTAATATATGCTATAGAATCACAAATATAAAAAAAATCAAAGAATTATAAACAGAAAACTTGAAATCGATGTCCTGTCGAAGAGACGTTTCTTAGCGATATAAAACACTACAAGGCACAAGTGTAAATAACCTGGAAGCAACATTCAAAGTTCTACTCAACAATACTTCAATACATTCTAAAATAACTTGTTTTAAATAAGCTCATACATATTTGTTTCCGTTTATTAGAAACCCGACTAAACTTTACCGACCTGCGTGTAGTCAAAAGTCAGTTTGACATAAAAAATGGCTATACGATGTTGTCTGTCTGTCATTCGACACAAATATAATGGGAATCAAAAAACACATGTGCTATGGTGCGAATTTCAAATCTGATTACATATGTTGTTTCAGCGCCGTGCACACACTTGAGCCAACTCATGTTTATATATGTGACGGGATATGATGTGAGATGATGCAACGTGGTGTGTTATGTTGTGTTTTATGTGATTTGATGTGGTGTGACGTCATACAGTGTGATGTAGCGCAATGCGATGTGATGTGGTGCGGTATAATGTGACGCGTTGTGTGATGTTTTATATGGTGTGATATTACGCGATGTGATGCAATGCGATGTAACATGATATATTGTGACGCGTTATGCGATGTTTTATGTGGTGTGATATTATGTGATGTGTTGCAATGCGATGTAACATGATATAATGTGATGCATTATGTGATGTTTTATGTGGTGTTATATTATGTGATTTGATGCAATGCGATGTAACATGATATAATGTGACGCGTTATGTGATGTTTTATGTGGTGTTATATTATGTGATGTGATGTGATGCAATGCGATGTAACATGATATAATGTGACGCATTATGTGATTTTAGAAGCACATTGCTTGTATAATTATAACAGGAAGTATCAATATGACTTCGCATTATTTTGCATCGTATATAACGTAAGTTTATATCATTGGTCTTGTCGTTGACAATGACTGTACAGTTTAATGTGAAAGCTGGTTAAATTGTATACGTACTTTCCACGTGAGTTCGCGGCCAATATGACGAAAGAGTGTTCAACACATATTATCCAGTGTAGCTACGCCAATACTAGTACTAATACTAACAATACTACCCCCCCCCCCCCGATAATATATGTCGGCTCGCCACAATACGTTTGTTCACAAAATACTTTAGTATACATGTATGCCAAGAAGCACCTTATGAAAAAAATCAGTGACCCAACTTTTGTTGTCGATTAATCCTGCCTTGTATGCACGACCTTTATCGCGTAAATAAGTCATGAATAAATTCGAAAAGTTGCGCTGTGTCTTGCATAGTATATTGCATCATAGTTGTGTGTTTTCCAACACGTCGTCCAGGGTGAACGTCTTGAATACTATTGCGTCGTGATACGCACTATCAGTATCGGCGCCTTTTTCGTAGAGAACGGCGAAGTTCTGTACAATGTTCGAGTTGTCCAGCGTCTCAAAGTATGTCAAGTCTGAATACCCGCTGTTCCCTCTATGTACTGTCCACGGCTCACTCCAGCTGTTCATACCGTCTTTACTGATTCGAATAGACTCTCCCTGTCTGAGACCCATGGAAGCAGGGTTGGAGAACAACGCCCACGTTTTGCGAACCAAGTGGGTGATTTTCGTTCCTGGTGGTGCTGGAAATTCTATCGTACTTCCCTGTGGAATAAAGTGAAATATGTTAATTGAAATAGACTATAAATAAAATAGTTTTATTAGAAAATGTACATAAAAGCACAAGTTGCTGGTTATGGGCATAACAGAAAGAATTAACGATGACCGTTACGTACTGTATATGAATCAGTTATTCACTGATTTTTAATTTAACAAATACCTGAAATCGACTGTTATTATTCACAAGAAAATGTAAAATTACAAAAAAGAACTGTTTCACCGGAAAGCTTAGTAAATTTGATTGAATAAATTTAAATACCAGTGAAAAGTAATGCGTTTTTGGTATTATTCTCACAAATCATATTACATTGGAAAAATTGACCCAACTCATTCTTAGGTGTACCAATTTGGGTTGAGACAAAAATGAAAAAGAGTTGACGGACATGCGTCCATGGAAACAGGGATTACAGTGATGTGGTCATAGCATAATGTCTCCAACACGGCAGACATTTTGCAAAAACCCGCGTTAGGACATTGCAGACTATAGTGTGAAATCACAACTATTTTAATGAAATATTGTCAAATGGTTCAATTACAAATTTCAGAAATTGTTCAGTCTCTCGAGTACTGTTTTCTTCACACTTTCCATGGTGTCAGCTTAGTCATAAACTCTTCTCTGGGGGGGGGGGGTATGTTTCAGTACACCAACCAATCAGCGCCAAGTACTTGATAACACAATAAATTGGTTTAAGATTTTGATATCAATTTCACCTGACATCCAGGGGCGCCTGATATAGTTATGCTCCCCTTCCTCATCCAGAATCCTGGTTCTACCAACTTTGCGTTCAACTTGGGAAGACCAAATGTGATGCCACCGTCCCAGCTGCACGAAATTGCACGTGACTGCAGCTCACTTAATGTACGGCAATTCAGACACACGTGGTTACTCCCAAGTTCAACCGCCTGGATGAATGAGATTGGAGAAAGAACAGATACTATAGTTATGTAGTTTTCATATAATACAATGTTATAGTTGATTAAGGGTGTGTGCGATAAATAGCGAGCTACTTTGATGTTTATTAATATACTAAATATTTGACTGGCACGTAACACCGCGTCATTTCAGAGTAATCTGTGAGATAATAGGTTGACCTCTTTTTCAATGATCTCGTACTTTGCGGCTGAGACTAAGAATGTATACTCGTACCTTGTTGGGACTTAAGAATATACACTCGTACCTTGCTGGGACTTAAGAATATCCACTCGTACCTTGTTGGGACTTAAGAATATACACACTCGTACCTTGTTGGGACTTAAGAATATACACTCGTACCTTGTTGGGACTTAAAAATATACACTCGTACCTTGTTGGGACTTAAGAATATACACTCGTTTCAATAACGGTGAAGCGCTTATGTTAGGAAAGGCAAACGACTACAGACCTAACAAACCTGTTGCTACAAACGACGTCGTCTACGTACGTTAGTTCAGTCCTCCCCTCTGTTCTCATTCCGACTCCAGTGCTTCAAATAACAGCATTAAAACTTTGAGGCCAACTTTAAAAAAGTTTGTAAAAGTGAATCATGGAATTACCCCGGGTAATCTCCCGCTATGCTTTCACTGATTGTTTGCATGTAATATAGCAGTAACAATATATGCCAAACATGATCACCTTGTAATTTAATAATAACAAATTTCACGGAATGCACACCAGAGGTTTGAATAACAAATTCAACACATACCTGCGCTTCGTTTGTTTGTATCATTATGCCCTGAGTGTCTGTTTTTATCGGAACCTTCCCCCCAGGTGTCCAAGTATCGCCTCCATCGTCACTATACAATACCATAGAATAGTCAAAGCACGACTGGCTATTTTTGGGCGCTGTTGTAAAACAGATAACGAGGTTAGTTTCAGAGACGTACCAACTTTACAAGAAATTAAATTTAGGCCTGTGTCAACGAACTATCGGGTGAATGGAGACAAAGTGGAACATCTTTGAAATATAAACCTAGTTCCCCAGTCCGCAATTTGAATGTGTTGGTTCTTTACCGATCAAAAACGAAGGATTTACGTATAATAACCCTGAGAGGGAGTACTCGATGGAAAATTTTACACATGCGACTGCTCTGGACGGCCGGTCGCAGTATCTGAAACAGGCAAGGCAAGCTAGAGAAGTATTTCTCTTTATGCGATGTTCGTTAATAATCGTATTAGATGCTCGTTTAGGTAAAGTTTTATATGCACGTAATCAATAAGACTAATAAATTCATATTTCCATATAAGCCGCGTTCCCTAGCGACAAAAAGTATGTGCCCGGGGGAGGGGGGTAGTACAAGTCAGACCTGGTACCCATGCTGAAGTATAGCTTTTCAAAAAATCCTCTAAACACGTACTTATTTTTGTGAAATTATACCCATTGTCAAGTGCAGAAACTTAAAATAGATACCCTATATACATCCTAATATCACACTGTTTCCAAGTTGAGGTAACATGAATTCATGGGATTTCTTTTTTCACACTTTATTTATATATGTTAAAATATTCAACCCTAAATACGGTATACGCGTATACGCGTTAAATAACTGAATAACACCCCTTTTACTCGTTTTTGTTTACTTCAGCTTGCGTACCATATTTTATTCACAGAACCCTCAGACAATAATCAGTTCAAATAATTTCAACGATATAAACTGCGTCTTCCACACCAAATTTACCCCCCCCCCCCCACAGAAGCGATTCCATGCTGGAGAGCGCGACATGAATTGGGACTATGCTATGCACGCTTTTAAATCTACCACATGATTGTGAAGCCGACTTACCGTCCTTATGTTTTATGTACACATTGCCAGGCACAATTAATCTCCCTGATTCCAATTGTATACCATGACCAGGCCCTGAAACATACAGTTTAAACAATATTGGCGACTTGAGTTAAGTAATAATATGAGAAATATTGTTTACTGCCATATTTTTGTACGACGCGTTTACTCAGCCGTCCGATCTTGGTACCCGGGAATACCACTTAGACTAAATTGGGAACGCCGGAACGCATAAGGGGTTGAATCACTATGGAATGGAAAATAGTAGCAATATTTTGCAAACTGTTTTCTGACATGATGATTTAAGTCTGATTCGTTCTGGATGATTTTGTTGCAGTACATTTTTTTTTCTATCAAATCGAACGTGTAATTGTGACTGGTTAATCATAGCCGTAGTTAGACATAACAAACGCACCAATGGACATTTTAGTTAAGCCCTCTGACAGTGGCGGCGGCACAGGGGGGTCGCCCCCTCGAACAAAATGTTGGAGCGTAGCCCTTCCAAAATCAAGCTGAAACCCTTTGTGTCAGCAAAATATGTCTCTCAAAATGCAGGAAATAGCGTTTCAGAGGATCTATACTTCAACATTTTTAAGGGGAACATGCACCCTCTCATGAGTCCGACAGTTTAGGATTTTGACGAGGTACTTGTAAGCTAGTCCCAGTTAATATAAACCGTAGGATAAAATATGGTATGTGGCGCTTAAAAATAAAAGGACATATGGTAGCGTGGCTGGTCCGGCATGCCACACAAGCATATGGCGATGTCAGAAAATCATACGAATTGGTAGGAGAAGGATGGTGAAAAATAAGGTATGCTCGGCGGATATTAAATTTGGCACCAAAATTGGTAGCTTGAAAACGAGTGCTCGACAGTAGCATATTGAGGTTTAATACGGTTTTCGTGATTGACAACAACTCTGAATAAATATACGCCGTACATATTAATAAAGATTAGTGTATACCTGATGCAAACATAGACGGTATTGGTGTCATAGCTCCCAGTGTGCTGCTAGTTATATCCACAGGTTCACTCCATGTCAAACCGTTGTCCATACTCTAAAAGATACGTAGATTTAAAACTTTGGTTTTGATACTGAGATATTCACTGCAAGAATCTAGGTATGAGATACATAGTCCTCACCTTAATAATATAGACTGCTTCGTCATATCTATGCTGTCTTTTCAAAAAACCTTCTGTCTTCCACGGGTCCAGCGATATGAAAACTAAAACCAGGGCTCCCCGTTTGCGGTCGACGATTGGAGTAGGGTTCATTACTCTGAAACGAAAAAAAATCTTTGAATGAATAGCTTAGTAGCCTATCCATATTTTTGGAGAAAGTTAGCCACAAATCGCATATCGTATATCGATGTTGATCA